CAACAGACGAATGCGCCAAGCGAGTCTTGTCCAAAGTCGAAGGCGACTTCACCATCGACGAACAAGGATTGATTCGATACAAAGGGTTAGTGTATGTCCCAAGTCAAATGAGACGCCCGCTGGTGCAAGAACAACACTCGTTACCAGCACACGGTCATCAGGGAGTAACACGAACCTTCGAACGAATCACTCGACACTACTACTTCCCAGGTATGAGGAAGCAGGTAGAGACAGTGGTAAGAGAGTGCGACATTTGCAGCAAGTCAAAATCCAATAGGCACCTGCCATACGGACAACTCAAGTCGACACCAGTACCAAAAGGAGCGTGGAAATCAATAGCTTTGGACTTCATCGTCAAGCTTCCACCCTCCAAGGACCCGTTAACAGGAATAGAATACGACTCTATCCTCGTCATCACGGAAAGACTCACGAAATATGGGAAGTTTATACCATATCTAGAAGCTAGCGATGCCGAGGCGCTCGCATATACCTTCATTCGAGTCATATTAGCCGATCATGGGATGCCAGAAGAAATCATCTCAGATAGAGACAAGCTCTTTACTTCGAAATTCTGGAAATCATTGATGGCGCTACTGGGAACAAATCATAAGCTATCAACAGCTTTTCATCCCCAGACAGATGGCCAAACAGAAAGATTAAATCAGACCCTTGAACAGTACCTGCGAAGCTATGTCAATCATCAACAGGATAACTGGGTTCAGATCTTACCCATCGCACAGTTTGCATATAACAGCGCGATGACAGAAGCAACGAAAGTCTCACCGTTCTTTGCCAATTATGGCTACCAGCCAGAAGCATATAGGCAACCAAGACCGGATGAATCACGAGCTGAACAAGCCCTGATCGTGGTGGAACAACTGAAATCGTTCCACGAACAACTTGCGACGGACATCCAATTCTTAAATGAACGATCCGCCGCATACGCAAACAAGAAGCGCAGTATGGAACCTGCCTTCAAGGAGGGGGATAAAGTATACCTACTCCGGAAACATATCAAAACGAAACGACCAAGCACAAAGTTGGACTTCAAGAAATTGGGACCATTCAAAATATTGAACAAAGTCAGCTCAGTTAATTACAGACTGCAGCTACCCAGGAAGTCTAGACTACACCCGGTATTTCATGTCTCACTACTGGAACCAGCAAGAGTAAATACCCCAATTGCGACCGACACCGAACTCCAACCCGAGAATGAGATAATCGAATATGAGGTCGAAGCGATCCTAGACAGAAGGTTAGTAGGACGTCGAGAAGAGTTTTTGATAAAATGGGAAAATTACGAACCTACGGATAATTCGTGGGAACCAACAAGGAACATCAGCAAAGAACTGCTGGAGGAATATCGACACCGCCATCCGCCAGCCATTGATCCCAAGATGCAGGGGAGTAGGCCAGTGGATCGGAGGAAGCGGAGGTCCCGGTCACAGACGAGGAGGCAGCGCTAACTGCCTGTTCCTCGACCTCAACAGCGTCACGCTTCTCAGCAGCCACACGTTCGGCCTCCTCTGCCGCATCAAGCTCGTCGAGGGTTTTCAAACCTCGTCGGAGCATATCTTTACCACGGGTTCGGATGAGGCGTTTCTGCTTTCGCAGACGAAGTAACTTCGAAAGGGTTTCTTCCTCTTCGCGATCCAGGCGATCCTCCTCCCGTTCGAGCTTCACCCAGTCGGGATGCTCAGGACCCATACAGTCACACTTTTCTTTCCAAGTTGCGACGAACGCACTCGGCGCACCGCCGTGAATCATTTGGAGACGACACGCAAGTAATGTTTCGCCTCACGCAGTTCGAGCAAGAATCCATTTCGGGTAGTTCGTATCCGTGGTTCTTTATTCGACGGACAAGATCGTTGCGTTCCTGGAGTTTGCGGGCAGTGTCAGTAGGCATGTTGCATGTTGAAGGACTCGCTGAGGAGCAGCAGAGTCCCGGGGACATGGACGTACTTATAGGATTCGAGACGAATGCCCAGGGGAAGGGAGCGAGTGTTACGACGGAACAAGAAGGCTGGCCAACTACAGGACAGGAAGGAGGGAGGTCGCATGAGACCGGCCCTGGTACCTGGAGGGGCAGCGGGGAATAGTAGTTCCGAAAGTATCACGTGACGGACTCGCAGGATGATGAGAAGAGTCCTAAGAGTCCAGGACTCCGAGGACTCGAGTGAGTTCCCAGGAGTCCACTAGGCACGTGATGGACTCGCAGGATGATGAGAAGAGTCCTAAGAGTCCAGGACTCCGAGGACTCGAGTGAGTTCCCAAGAGTCCACTAGGCACGACGCCACTATATAAGTAGATAGTATTTCCTTAGATAGGAGCTTCGTGCTCAACTCAATACAGTATTTGTTATATACTAGTAACGTGTTACTTGAAGCCTTTGTGTCTGATCCCCTGCCTCCTCTGATAAGTAAACCTTTACGCAAGAGAACCTCTGTGTCTTCTATCGTTTAGAAGTCAGCGTTACAGCGACCTCCTCCTCCTCCTCTGGACTCCTCAACCGAAGGTGATCGGTAGGGACGCACAGTGCGAGGGCGAGAGGTGGACGCAACGGAAGCAGGACCGAAGGGAGTAGGGGTGGCAGGTGACTCCAACTCGGGAGACCCAGACATCTGGGCGGAAGAGCGCTTGAGAGGGGTGGCGACAGGCGCCACTGTCTTCTTGGGCTGCTTGCGCGGAGCCATGATTGACGGAACTAATCCACAGATCAGTCCCTGAAGACGAAGGACGGAAGGGAGGTAAATACCTTGCGAAGAGGGAGTAAGCCTTGAAGCAAACCTTGGAAGAGGATCAAAAGGAAGAAGCCAAGAACCCAGAAGAGCGGGCACTTGGTGTGAGGTTGTGTGAGGAAAGTAGGAAGTTGGGTAGGAAGTGGGAGTTAAGCACGATGCCCACAACAACTGGGGGTGGCCGCGGCACAACAACAAGGGGGGTCACGGGACCCCCCTGACAGGCGCGAGTTCGATAACAACAACCCACCCTATGCGCGAGCAAACAAGCCAAACAAGCCCAAACAAGGGCGCAATCAGCCCTGATCTCTATGCCTGGAATTGGGGGCAATTCCCTAGAAGGGGGAGGTAATTGTAAGGCGGCCCTCACGTGAGGGCACGTGAGGTGTCACGCTCTTACAGTGGACCTGGCGGGCTCGGTAAATTAGGGCCTACGGGTTCCTGTATATAAGGGGCTGGAGGCTCGGAGTGAGGCCTCCAGTCAATAGTCGCTGTATATACGTAGACCTATTGTTACGCATTGAATCCTACTTCCTACCTACTGATCTGGTTCCCTGAGCTCCCGTGTGACCCTGGGTCCTACGCCTTTACACACTCATCATTGACGAACCTGACATGCGTAGGGCTCCAGGTCTAGGTGCTGCAGCACGACTCAAAGTGTTTCGTTGCTGCATAGGAGATGGCGATCTTCCTTCCTCGGATTTGAAACGGATGGCCACAAATTCTCTGTCCGTGAGTAGAAATGCATAGCGAGTTTTGGCAAGCATTGCATAATGTACAATTTGGCGTATCGGGAGCATCTCATTCGGTACATCTATTAGGTTTATGCTGCCATTAAGCAATAGTTCCGGATTGAATGAGATTGCCTTCTTCGTATCCCCAGGACAGTAGCATTTATGGGAATTGTGTAGGCCATTAGCAATAACAGCACAGGCCCAGTCAGGTTTATTAGAGAGTGAAACCTTGAAATTGTGTTAGTTCAAGAACGTCCCTTGGGTAGTCACTTACTTCATTCCCGAGGCTACAAATGCTTCCAACACCAAGCCATATGTTACGACTAAGCTTTGATATAGCACCCTCCAGTAGGTTGCCCACAAAAAACATAACAGTTCCATTGACGAGTCCATGCACAGAATCTTCGCCAGTAATATTTGTTGCCTTAGCTGGAGGCTTCGCAAGCGAAGGACAATCCACCTCATAGCCTAGCAATTTTGGATAGTGGTATTCGAAAGTATCCGATGAGAAATCCGTCCAGTCTTTAAGCTGTGAAAGATTTATCAAAGGCCAGTCATTATGAAATGAGTTTCTGCTCGAAGAACTAAGATGCTGGCAATCCCACGTGGCCTTCTGATCGAGATGGTCTCGGATTGTTTTCTTTCCCATAACTTTTAGAAGGTAACCTTGTAACCTCGTTTGGCTGGCTTTTGTCTGAGAGAAGCGTAATATAATAAGTCCCAGAGATGGTGAGATGCTAGGATAAATAATCCTCAAAATGGGAAAGAGGATGCAACCTTATATACAGATTTCGCCCAGACACATGCCACGCCTATACTCTCAACAATGGTCTGGTGCAGATTGCTTTTGGTATGAGTCATTCATTACCATCAGTGTTTTGCGGAATGGCGGGTGATGGTGCAGGAGCGAACAGACGAGATTGAATAATCAAGGTGGTATGTGGGTGCAGCATGCAAACGACGCAGGGAGAAGCACATATCTGCAAGACACTGTTGCGGGAGGCTGGCGAGATCCGTTCGCCATGCAGTAGTATGGGGGAAGCAGCGTTCGAGCAGTGGACATTGTTGGAAGAGTTCACCTTCTCAATTCTCATTTCCGAAGGAACAAGATGAACTCGATTGGGCGGCGCACTGGCCATGTATAACCAGGATGGCATCGCGGCGGTATTCATTGCTGTTATTGATATACGAGGTAAGATCCATAAGACTAAGCAAGAAATAGTCAATTTACAACATCTCACGATGCCGAAGTGAAAATAGATTCGATTGCTCTAGTGAAATACAAAATGGGTGATTGGGTGGACTCTGGCAAGGTCCCCTTGTGATTGGAGTTCGGATTCTTGGGGTACATGATGCCATCCCTGTCCTAGCAACAAAATCAAGCCACTCTCTTGCAGAAAGTTCTGCAGACCTGCATAAACTAAGCTAGTGCCTAATTCTCATCATCCGACACCCCGCTCCAGTGTCGCATATAAGTCAGACCTCCCGCCCCACCACCCCCCACTATCAACGCCTAGTCACTTTCAGCATGTCAGCAGCTGTTTTGCTCTCGCAGTTGAAGGGTCTGCTTGATAAGACCGAACATTTGAATGGCAAATTCTCTAAGGTCTATCCAACAGGTGACCAGTGGGACACTTTAAGCAACTTGAGTTCAAGGCTCTCAGAAGCGGCGAAGACGGTTCAGGAAGAAATCCGAGTACTGTTGGAATCGCGGTCAGACCGAGCATGGAAGGAAAGTGAGGAACACAGGTCTAAAGCACAGTCATGTAGGGGTGACCTTTTTGCGAAAGGTCGATTGAAACAGCCAGCTGTATTCCGGAGAAATATCGTCACTATATTTAAAGGTCCAAAAACTTCAACATTTGATTCCGAGGATATAAAGTTCAAGAATGAATCTACCCTCAAGAGGTGCGAGTTGATCCGAGGCTTAAGTCCTGACGGGGTGATTTCATGGGCAATGGCGTTCGCGCCTACCCTTTGGGCCGGAGGCTCGATATCTGCGGACATATTTACTTGTCTCCTCGACGACATCGAACCCGAGCTGGTCCAGACTTGGCCCCAGGTAATACGAGACACATTGCACAAGCTTATGGAAGATGAAGAATCTTTAAAGAAGTCCCCTGAATATCAGGAGTTCCTCCAAGGTTAGTTACCAGATGAAGGAGAATGGCGCAAGAAACTGACCATAGCCAGCACTCGACGATCAGTCGCGGAAGCCAGTAAAAAATAGAAAAAGGCGGCGCACTGAAGACGAAATTGAGCAAGTGAAATCAGCAACGGAAGATGCATTATCGCCGTCTAATGAAAGCAGAGGTGGGGAGGCTTCGCATATATACAAGGCATTGCTAATTATTTACCAACAGAAATGAAATATATGTACACAAATGCACCCGCTAGCAACATATCGAACTTGCCCGAGCCATTCAGAACAGCCGTCGAGAATAGCCGCCTGTGGAAGTGGGAACGAAGTCAAGAACTGGTGACGACAGGATGCTTGGCTAGTTTGTTCCCAAAGGATTACACACAAGATGTCTCCTTTACCATTTGGTGTGGCCATGACAACTCATACCAACTCAACGATATCTTCGGAGTACAACGTGCAATCCTCTCCTATGATTAGGTGAAATGTACAGTAGCACCTCTGACGTAAACAGTATACCCAGCAGGCACTTCATATTCCGTGTCTGTACTTATATTTTCTTTGAACATTTTCTGGTCGTCGGTTTCTTGGTTGACGATCAAAAGATATTCGCCTCTGAAGCATATTGTCCTGTCGTTGTTTGGATCGGGAGGGAAACGATGACTTGGGATGTCCTTTTCTTCTCGCCCAGCAAGAGCTTCATCGCCTCTCTAAATAGACAACACATATTAGCTATAGTGCATTGAAGGGAGTGTATTAGAAGATTAGGATAGCTAACCGCCATGATCAATATATAATGTGCTGATGAGCCTGCAGATTGGTGGTGCTCGTCACCAGATGAGGAAGAGGTGCGCGAGTTTGGGAACGAGATTATCGCCTATACAATGAATAAGTAAGCCGCTGTGTAAATTGTACGGTCGATGGAGAGGCTCGACCTGGTATTATCTTGGCTGCGGGGACCGTGGTTGTGGCTGTAGACGATCGACGTTGCCTATTTGCACAAAGCCAAACGTGAGGTTGAGTCTCAGAGTCAGAGAGTCTCCTGCGTCTATGATATAGAATATGCCAAGTGAGATGCGTACAGGAGGTTTCGGGAGGTTGATGACGGTTAATGAAGATAGTGGTTGCCGGGTTTGCAAGTAGTGGGGTGCGATGCCCATGTGATTTGCTCAGCAACCCCCTAGCAAACTTTGGGCCTGAGTGCGTTCAGGCTCGAAAAGATGAACCAAATCACGATGAAGACTATATAGGTTAACCATTCGAGATTGTGACGTGATAGCCTATGGGCATCCAGAATATATCGAGTGGGTCGCGCGATGGTGACAAACCATTTAACTATATGAAGCTATTGAGAGGCATTCGAAGGTCGACGTGCTGGATCTCTTTTGGTGTTGGAGCCACGACCTGTCCGCGCATCTGTTTTGGCTTGGCGTTATCTAGGGTCATGTGATACGGTAACCTTTAAAACAATACAACCTTCTGCAAATCCCATGAGATGCCTGGTACGACCGAGGACAAGAATAAGTTAATGGCAAACACAGCCTGCCAAGAAGTTTTGAATCGAGACTATGATGAATCCAAAGGTGGTCGTCTGCTATGTGAAGGGACATATTTCTCGTTTAATCACACGTGTTACCTTGTAATTGATCATGGTCCTGTGGATGCCACAACCTATGATATCCGCATGTTCAAATGGAGAGCACAAGAGCTGTAACTATCATTTAATACACCCTATTTACTCCTAACTTGCTAACATAGACAACAGAGTCCCTGTGGCCAAAATCCTCCCATATATTCTCAAACAGTTTCGAGACAAATACCAATTTAATCCAGCCGACAGACCTAAATGCGTCAGTTCCCATAACTTTAGTTTGGGTGTCTTTATACTGATAATCCACAGCCGGTGTACACGGACGAGCAATTTAGGGACAAATTCGGCCCTGATGAACACCGAAGGCTCGTGGAAGCCATAGAGGAGAAGAAAAGAATTGCACGAGAATACAGCGGTAGCACTTATTAGCAGTGATATCCCATTGTGGACAGCCTTGTAATCTGCTGCTTCATTGTGCATAGGAGGAGTTAGGCACAGAGGCGATAGAGATAGAGCTCTCCAAAGCCAGACTGTACCTACTTCGGGCCTTTCATACGATATGCTCTAAATCAATTTCAACACGATTGTGGTTAACGCGTGCAGTAATTTGGATATTGGCTATGCTCTACAAGTAGTATTTACTCTAGATTGTATCCAAGGTCGGCCATTTGAATACTACATTGTTCATCGTCCTATCCACATGCGTAGGCCACAGTCGATCAGTCAATGTTTGTACGTACGGCCATGTACTATGGCCATCAGCTCCCCAATTCTCTCTAACAGGAAGCGTGGAACAACAGCAGGGTTGGGTGTAGCGAGTATTTTCCTCAATCAAGACGCTTTGAGTTAGGAATGAAATGCTGACCGGTTTGCTCAGGTACGGACGCAACATTGTGGATGAGCGGCGATTAGTTGTCCGCGTCGTAGACAACCCCCATTCCCTCATCCCGCTCTCCGCGCCATTCTCGTCATAATTGCCCTCTTCGAACATCGACCCTCAAGCCATCAGTTTGTCCATGAGAGTATTTCAGGTCGTGAAAGGCTCGGTAGTCGATTCAGACGATTCGTTCTTTGCGCGCTTCACGCGAATAGCAGGCTGCGATTCCGAAGCCTTTGACTTCGTAGCGCTCTGGCGTTGAGTGCCTAAGGCCTTCATCATATCGTACTGTTCCGAAAAATGGTCATACCTAAGCCCTAACGCTCCGAAGAGCAGGTAAACAGAGCGTCTAGGAGATAGCTTCACTGCTTCTTCCCATGATGTAGGAACAGTATGCAGCAAGGGACCCAATAAGTCGACGTCAACGTTATCAAAGTCATCGGCTTCATCCAAGGCTTTAAAGGGCCAAGTATCAATAGCAAGGTAGAATTCAAGACAACGAACTAACTCTGACGCTTGGAATAATTAGCAGCTTTCACACAAATCTAATATAGACCCAACGAAAGGACATACCATGCTCTTGGTTGTGCAGATTCCAATAGTGTTTTACTTGCCGTAATGGGGTTGAAATATATTCAATCCGCTTCACTCCATCCCTGTCTCGAATGATAGGAAGAGACTGAACTTCGTCGAAGAATCTAGATGCTCTGTAGTTTTGTGATGCACGAATTTCTAGACGAAGTCCTTCGAGGTCGGTCTTGAGTTCTTCAAGGTCAGCCTTGGTTGCAAGGCGAAGTTCTTCCAGTCCGGTCTTAAGGTCAGCCTTGGTTGCAAGGCGAAGTTCTTCGAGTCCGGTCTTAAGGTCAGCCTTAGTTGTAAGGCGAAGTTCTTCGAGGCCGTTCTTGAGGTCAGCCTTAGTTGTAAGGCGAAGTTCTTTGAGGTCGGCCTTGAGGTCGGTCTTGGTAGCAAGAGTTGGAAGGATTTCGCGTAGGTGTTCGTCAGTCACAATATTGCCATTCTCCATGAATTCTTGGACTTCTTCCATCTCTGCCTTTATATTTCCAATATCCCCTTCAGCTTCAGATACCCTTATATCCCTTTCATTGACGACTTCATCGAGTCCCTTTACTTCTTGTTGTAATCTTTCGAAACTAGACGCGGTAGGTACATCGGTTGCTATCTCGTTGGGTGCACTAGCATAACGTTGGTGGTGTTCTAGTGATCGCACGCGGTCCTCATGAGCTGCGTTATACACTTGGTAATAATACCTTCGTCGTCGACATCCTCTGGAGGCGTGAGATGCCCAAACAGGAGTGCTAATCCACGGGCCTTAGTCCGTAGTGGGGGGAGTTCCAACCGGCTACCTGAAAACATACTGCTGTCGTCAGACTCGGTGGACTGCGACATAATGATGAGAGTTGTCCCCTAACAGTTCCGTGCTGGAGAGTCTGTGTTGTAAACAATCGCAAACCTGCCAAGAGACGCGACATCAGGTTGCCGTTTGGGGCCGCTTTGACGCTAGCCAAGTGCGGATAATTGTAATGCCGACCGTCCATTTGTGAGACTTGGCGCCTGAACTTCGCACCAATACGTAATCGTTGGTTCTCAAACCACCGCCTGGAGGCGGTTGGCGAAAGCGAACTGGGACGCGAAAGCGATTGTGGGACACTTCGGGAGCGGACTCACGACGCGACACGACCGACCATGAACATGACCGACAACGAGCACAACTACAACCACAACTATGCCGGTAGTTGAAGTAAATAAAAATGAAGCTCTTTTAAATGCCATTGAATTTTTAAATGAAAACCCAACAGAGAAGAGTGCTACAGTAGCACGGATGTACAGAGTAAACCCAAGTACGCTCCGGACTATACGACTACGTAGGCTGCGCACTACTCGCTCAATACTCGGCTCACTCGCTCAGTGGGTTACTCAGCTGGGTGAGTAGCTGAACCTTTTACTCGACTCGGTGAGTGAGGTCAATACTCAGTTACTCTGTAAAAACCCGGTGAGTACTCGGCTATCACGTGTAAGATTTATGCATCATGTGAACAGTCCCTCATACGATTAATACTGTTTTATGGTTAAGTTAAAGTATTACATCTATTAGCATCACTCTCGCCATCTCTAGTAAGCTGTGAGAACGAATCATGTATATTCCTCTATCTAAGTACCATGATTATCAGAAGATTATTAGAACGCTATTATCTATTATATATGCTTAAGAACATCCCTCCACCTTGCTTGATGAGGCCGGCCAGACCTACTAATACCTAAAGTATTTATAGGGTCTTGATGAGGATCCTCGACTGAGCGGAACGAGCTATGAGTCAAGATAACTGTGTATAGAACTTGTTCATAAAATGTCTCTTGTGTGAGAATATGATCTTATTATAGGTATTAACCTACATAATTCTGGTAATAATCTGGTAATCCTTACTTGTTGAGGTTGCATTTGATTGATTCGCATTTGATAGAGACTATCCTTCCCATCTGTGACTTCTTTTTGCAAATGTCTGATGCAAGATGTGTTGCCATAGACTTTGGGCCAGCAGACTTGATTGTAGGATGCGTAAGGGCCTTCGAACAATAAGTACAAATAACACATGGTTCTCCAGAAAGCCGGTCTGCTCCTTGGTGATAACTTCTCCAGTATTGAGAACTCCAGTTGGTTGAATCCCATGCAATCTTCATAAGGAGTTTTGTAGTATGATCTGAGTGTTGTTCATACCATCGTGATAGCTTCCACCACTCAATGAATATATCGTGTGTATCCTTAGTCCATTTGACGAATTGGTTTAACTTGCCAATATATTCAAGGCCTGCAGGGACTTTGTAAGGATGCCTGTCCCTCAGTGATGGAAAGGATCTGAGTCGGGCAGGTTACGGTCACATGATAAGAGTTAAGGCAGGTTAGCTGAGTCGGACCCGTTTCGGGTACTTAAGGAGATTGACCCAACGGGGGTTCCTCTCTTCATCTTTTTTGTATCCTTCGTAGTAGACCTATAGGATAGCATCCGTTTAGCCTCTGACTCGCACTCTCATATGCTATTACTGTGAGCTGGGTGCCCTGTGTCCTTACAGACTTAATTTAATGAGGATAGTCGTTGAGAAGACGGAAAAGAGTCTGAGAATACTGTCAGAATCAAACAACTCTGAGTATTGAGATGGCATTTGGCAAATTGCTCGATTATCAGAAGGTTACCAGAAGTCTGGCTACGATGAAGTACTTAAATACCTGGTTTTCCAACGCGAAAGGTACTCCAGCACTATAACTTTAGCAACTCAAGTTCTCCTCTACTCTAGCTCCAGGAACAACATATCCTGTGCAGCTGATACCTTAGCCCACTTTTCCTTATCAAACTTCTTAGAGTAGACAAGTAAGAACGCCTCTTTGAAGCTAGAACTATGAGTGGATATTTGCAACCATCCATTGTCGACAAGATTGTAAGACTTTGGGTACCACTGCACAGGTCCTGGTAATTAGGCCCACTTTCCAAACTGCCTGCTCGTACAAACAGAAATATTTATGTGGTGGGATAACCTCGTGAAAAGTGCTATAATAAACAATTAGTATTGCCAGAAGATTGCTAGGATGATCAGAGACGTACCCTTCCTCTACATCAATCCATGGCATATACTCAAAGAGACGCTCAGGCTTCTTTCTCAGCTTTCCAGCCTTTCTCGTATATGAGTGGATACAGCTATCCCAGAAATGTTGCCACTTGCGGAAATTGGACTCTTCATGGGCCTATCAACTATTAGTATCACCAGAAGATTACCAGATTATGAGGTAGCATACATCAATGTGCGCTTGAGTTAAGAGAGCCTGGGTGCTAGTGATCTCTTCATCGGAAAGCTCATCTGGTAGAACAGCCTCGTCATTTAAAATATCTCGCGCTGTAACATAAGCTCCAACTCCAAATCGTCTTCAACCTCAGTATCCTCCCATTCGCTGTTATGATTGTCATCGATTGGAATACTTGAGATACCCTCAAATGCAGCAAGCTCAGACAGAAGTTGTTTGGGCGGAGTAGATGGTGGGGCTTGTGGAGAAGAAGAGGCGCTAATATTCTTGACTTTCTGATTCGCAATGCAAGATGCATGGGTACCCTTCTCAGTCCTGTTTATAGTTAGATTGAGGCTACCAGAGATTACCAGAAGGGACTTACCGAACACAAATACGCTCAACCTTCAATTCATTCTGTAGACGTGTCTTGTCTTCAGTAGAGGCAGCGATATACTTTGTGTAATGACACAGGGCACCCAGCTCACAGTAATAGCATATGAGAGTGCGAGTTGGAGGCTAAAAGGATGCTATCCTATAGGTCTACTACGAAGGATACAAAAAAGATGAAGGGGGAACCCCGTTAAGTTTGTTTCCTTAAGTACCCGAAACGGGCCCGACTCGGTTATCCCAACCCTAGCCCTGAACCTTCCACCGCAACAGGTCCGCATCGACCCTGAACCCTACACCCTTACCGTCCCCCACTATAGTGTAACTCGCTATGTCCTCCTCTACTGGTCCGAAACCACACCGAGTCGGATTTCATGCTTGTGGTGACCGTAACAGCTCTGAGGCGGGTTCTTCGAGTATCTAGGTAAGGAGGCATCCTTACACTTTGCAGACTTATATAACTTCTTTAAGTAGTAGCTCAGATCAGCATGGTCAGCCTTGAGTGCTAAGTGAACAGCCTTCTCATCTTCAGTAAGGTTGGAGACGCAGTTGCGAGCTTTGATAGTATTCGCATTAGTGGAGAGTTCTTCATGTGCCTTGAGTTTCGCCATACTAACTAAACACGTGATTAGCAGAGATCTCCAGAAGTTCTGGCTATAGAATCAAGATAATAAACTTAGTTGAAGTCCTAGAGAAGAGGTAAAGGCTCAAAAGGGAAGAAGAATGTGTAGATCGGAGAGTAACCAAGGAAGGTGGTTCTAAGGTTCATGGTTATTTTAAAGTTGCAAACAAAAATATTTGTGAAGGAATATTCACCTACAAAGAATTACTGTTCCAAAAACAACACCACAATGCGCACCTTCATATAAAACACATACCTTTCAACCTCTACCTCTTTACTATACTCTTCTTCTGCAATATTCTTTCTACAAACTCACTGTAAGTACACATATCTTTTGATCTACTTCTTTATCTTGTGTTTACTTTACTAACTCACCTTGATATTAGCAAATGACTCGTACCAAGCAAACTGCTAGGAGATCAACTGGCGGCATAGCACCAAGGATGCCACTTGGATTACGGGCTGGCTCTGGGCTTGGCGGAAAGGGACAGGAAAAGGCTGTGGGCACAGCAAGAAAAGCTCCAGTTTGCTCATCTCAAGCTAGCAACAATCATGCTCAGAAGGCCACGCGCTGCACAAAGTCTAGTAAGAGGATTACCAGAGGATTACCAGAGGATTACCAGAACTCTCTAATAAACATATAGGCACCAAGGCTCTCCGCGATATCAGAAGACAGCAACTTGATACTAGCTCCCATTCCAGCGTCTTGTTAGGGAAATCACAGAAGACTTCAAGTCCAATCTTCGCTTCCAGCAATCTGCTATCCTAGCTCTTTAGGAAGCTGCTGAATGCTTCCTCATTCGAGAATTTGAGAGTATGATGTTTAAACATAGTGACAGGGACATACTAACAGTTATAGTGACAAACCTCCTCGCTATTCATGCGAAGAGAGTGACAATTCAGGCAAAGGGTATGATATTGGTTCGGCGTTTGCAGGATATGATGTTTAAGCTGTGGGCTTAATCGATGGAAATGTCTCTCACCCAGGAATGAAGGTCAGATGAGTTCTGGCAACCATCTGGTAACCTGGTACCTAAAGTCCAAAGGTTATAGTGTGGAATAGGACATCAACAATATGGGAATGGAGTTGGAGTTATGGCGTCTTGATCAATGAAGTCGCACCCCGTTTTTAACATAAGTAATGGCTAATCAAACACGTGATATAACTGAGTTGCCAAGACCCATACTAGGTACTCAGCAAGTGAGTAATCCTCATTCAACAATACTCGGGACATGAGTGAGTAACTCAGCTGGGTGAGTAAAAATTCTACTACTCGACTCGTGAGTACCCAGTGCGCAGCCTAGTTCTGATAATCTTCTGATAATCGTGGTACTTAGATAGAGGAATATACGTGATTCGTTCTCACAGCTTATTAGAGATGGTAGAGTGATGCTGATAAATGTAATACTTTAAGTTAACTTACAACTGTAACCATAAAACAGTATTAATCGTATGAGGGACTGTTCACGTAATGCATATATCTTACACGTGACAGCCGAGTACTCACTGGGTTTTTACAGAGTAACTGAGTATTGGCCTCACTCACCGAGTCGAGTGAAAGGTTCAGCTACTCACCCAGCTGAGTAACCCACTGAGTGAGTGAGCCGAGTATTGGGCGAGTAGTGCGCAGCCTAGTCAGTATGTGATTATTTGCAGCATAGATTCTCTAACATATAACCGCTGCAAACAATACTCATCACTATGTCGCAGTCCGCCGAGATCAACATGTCCTTGTCTAGCCGGTCTCAAATGACGTATAGGTGGCGGAAGACTACTGGCTTCCTCTGGCTAAGATGCTATCTAGATTGTCAATATTGAGGTGCAATATGCTTCACAAGCCGAGTTCAGCTCTGTGCTAGATCGAAGTTGGACGTTCTAGCGTGTCGTAACCTGGATGATGAATCTAGATTTAGCAGCTTAAGCCCCTCCGTTTGTCTATATTACCATCACTAACCCCACTATCGAGGCACTCTTCCAGGGCTTACTCTATAACCTATATCTCTACGTCTGTCCCAGCCTGCAGCACGCTCTACGTCGATTCTTTCCCGCTTGCGCCTCCCACTGATCGTACCCTCGACGCGTCGGCCCAGTACCTGCAGCTCTATCTTGAGCTACTTCTGACGAACAGCCTTGCTTTGCCGAGGGGGTTGGGATTGTAGCTGTTTCGGCTGGTGGGGTTAAGGATTGCCGATATAGAGGTGAATTTTGAATGTGAACGAAGTCTGATCATCGGATAGATCTGCTGCCAATACTGCCAGGACATTGTATCTTCCTCGATGACTTCGCTACTTCCGAGGTAGCAACGTTAAAACCCGAAGGGATACCAGGCATTACAACCACAAATGCAAAGCTTGGTAAGTTTTTGGATGAAGCAGAGGGAGTCCAACGAGTAAGACAACCAGCATTGGGGGAGAAAAGAATCGGAAAGAAAATGGCAAACCAAGAAAAGGAAGCGTCGTTCTACTCCTACAGAACAACTCTCTTCTGACAGGGAGAGGGAGTTTCGCAACGCAGAAAGTAAGATGGAAGGGCGCGCAGTGGTCGAGGACGGGGATTTTGAACATCAGACAAGAGACGGCATAGACATACCCAAAAGGAGACGGAGTGGCAGGATGAGGTAGATACCAAGTTAATAAAATGCAATACAATACTAAAACTGCTCTTTGACCGTGTGCATGATTCGATGTGATAGCTGCTCTACCCTACTCTGCAAGCCCTCTGGCTGGAAGCGATGCACTTCTCCTCCTCCAGGTCTAAAAGTCTGTCATCAATATCTTAAGCCATTTATATATTTTCTTCCAGAGTGTTTGGTTCGTCCCTAAATTAGTTAACTAGGTCTCGACTAGTATCTAGCTTGACGTTTTTTAAACTTACAGTTTGTCCCAGGGGTACTCGATAGCACCACTCAAATGCCATTTTTTTAGCCGTTGATTCAATTGATCATAACTATACCAAAGCTACCGTTAATTTACACGACTTAATGCAAATATCCAAATGGCCTACCTTGGTTCAAATTCCCCTTTCTCAAAAGTATTCCTAAGAATATACTTTATATAGGTGCGGTAATCAGACTCAGATAGAAGTTCTTGAATCTTGTCACATTGACTCTCCTATTGTTCTGGGGAAATACGCAAAAGGCTACACTGCTGAGCCTTTTGCGTAAGGCTACACTACTGAGCCTTTTGCGTATTTCCCCAGAACAATAGGAGAGTCAATGTGACAAGATTCAAGAACTTCTATCTGAGTCTGATTACCGCACCTATCTTAGGCAACATGAAAAGTAATCGAAATATATCTGTTTTCATATATGCTGGCGCCATGGCGATTCGCATCGCAAGAGCTGGTCGCTTTGACTTGAGGTATTAATTTCTGTGGCAACTATACATGAATTTACCCCGCACTACCACCATATAGCTGATAACGATCTCCCGCTTGGTTATGAGGGACGGACGTTATTGGAGTTGTCAAATTAATTAACGGATGCACAGCTGTGAAATGAACATTGAGCCCACTGAAGCTGGATTGTTGTTAGCCAATCGCATATTAACACATATCATGGTTGGGCCTCGTGTGCTCACATCCCCTCGCACTACTTTTGGCATACGCCATTTTTCTCGTTTTCGTGCTATGTAAAAGCGACTCCCCTTGGTGTCCGTCAGACATGCATGAGGTGGGCAGTGCAAGCAGGGTTCTGCCCCTCCTCGGCGTTAGGGGCTGGGCCTTTTGTTTTGGCCCCTCCTTTGGCCCTCCTTCGCTTTGCTCAGCCAAGCCAAAGAGGAGCCAGAACAGGGACCCGTATCCAATGCGGGGTAATCGTTGGTTCTCAAACCACCGCCTGGAGGCGGTTGGCGAAAGCGAACTGGGACGCGAAAGCGATTGTGGGACACTTCGGGAGCGGACTCGCGACGCGACACGACCGACCATGAACACGACTGACAACGTAACAATGCTGTAAATATATATAAGTTATAGAATTAAATAATTAAAAAAGATTTGGATCAATATTGTCAGGCAGTGATTGATCATCACAGCCACCGTCACTTGCATCGTGAATCATGTCGTAGTCCAAGCCTGCAAAGTTCACGTACCCACTCTCCTCGATGGCTAACAGTCGGTCCGCCTCCTCCTCCTCCTCACGTTTCTTCTGTGTAACGTCCGGGTCAATGATTTCTGTACGTAAGCCAATTGGTGGCTCCGTGTCTGGGTTACTTTTTTGAAATTCATGTAGGTCCTTTTTCCGTGTACGTTCTGCCTTCCGTGCATCGATGCCAGCACGGAGCTGCATCTTACGCTCAACGTTCACCATGCGTGTTCTCTCTCTTTTCTCCCGTGCTTCTTCTAAAAGTTGCTCCTTTACCTTCTTCTCATAAATCCTTTGCCGTGCATGTTCAACTGTAATAGCACCGCCTTTTTGAATAGATTTCCGACTTCTAACCTTCCGCTGTCGTTGCTCAGTCATAATAGTAGTAATTTGTACAAGCTCTGACTGGAACAGCTCAGCCTCTGTTAACTGAGTTTGGATTTCAGTATAAGAAGATGCCCACTTTTGCCGTGACGGTGAACTAAGGATCTTATCAAATGTTTGACTCCATGTTGAAAGATCATAACTTGCTTGAAATGCGCGTTGTGGTGTTTCTAAAACTTCTGGTTTTGCATATATAGCAACCTTCTCTTGAATCTTTTCATAGTTAGGTGGCCAAATACCTGCATCTCTAAAAGACTTGATACAGTTACCCTTTGTAAATGTCTGCTTACGGATAGTAGACAAGTCTCTAAAGAAAGATATAACATTATAATCTGTATCAAAATTCCGGATTGCTTGTTGAATTGCACGTCGGTGCCAATGTTTATATTGTGCAAACACAGTAACATCTAGCGGTTGTAGAATATGCGTAAGATGAGACGGAAACACATGTAAGTGTATATTGTGTTGATGTGCAAGTATTATAAACTCTGGAACTTCATGTGAGACATGAGAGTCCATTATT